TCTCTCTCTCTCTCTCTGTCTCTCTCTCTCTCTCTCTCTCTCTCTCTCCTTCTCTCCCTCTCCGTCTCTCTCTCTCTCTTCCATTCTCTCCCCTAAAACCCTTACCTCCTCCTCCCTCCCCTCTTCCTCCTTGGCACGTGACTAACCGTTCCCCTCACCTTGTTACATTGTCAGGGAACGAACGGTGAAAGTAGCGGTCCTCACTTGGTGGAGAAAGAGGGCAAGGGGGGGATAGCCGGTCCCTTGCGCCACCAAGAAGGAGAGAAAGGAAAGCCCCTGAGAATTGGAAAGACAAGGATTTGAGAAAGTGTGAAAGTGATTGTTTGGCACAAGGTCAGTTGACTCAACCATTTCCCCGACTGCATGACTAAGGAGAATGCATAGCTTGATTGGGAAGAGAAGCGAAAGGTAAAAGAACCCCCGGGGGGAAAAAGGAACTTAGGCTTGCGGGAAGGGCTATGTGTTGACCCCATTGGGGTATTGTATTGGTCTTTGCTTTGTGTGGGACTGTGAGTAGCTTAGGATGGCTTAAGCGGGACTGGGCTCAGGAAAGACGCAAGCGGAAGGATCGGAATGGGAGGGCCATAGGCCTAGCGTAAGCTCCAAACATGGGAGGGGCGTGACTCGGCATATAGAGTGTGTGTCTTAACTTTTGCATACAATATGGAAGCCTGAAAGTACTAAGGGCGGGTGATGGATATGTGGATAGGACGCATATGTCGAGCAAAAAAAAAAATAGGGGCCAGGGGATGGATGGCGCCGCCTCACCCTGATGATGCCATGGGGACCGTCGTGCTTAGGGAAAAAGGTGCGTGGCCCAAGGATGACACTTGGCCTACGCACAAAGGAAGAAAACTCTCAATAAACCCCCTGGACTGCATGCGTATTGGAAGGAGCAATTGCCTGGCCACACTTAAATGAATCGAGAAAACGCCATGAGTGACCATAAAGCTACCATCTAACGCGAGAGCGGAGCTACAATCCCCAATGTAAAGCCCTCTCACAAATGGCCCATCCCCATCCATCTCATTACACTAGGTGGGGGTGTCCCTGTGACGAACGACGCGCGCCCTGAGCACGAGCGTGGGCGGGTCGAGCCAAATGGGACCCGCAGTTGGGTCGACTCAGGCTCGAAAGTCTATCAGGGTACGGCCCTACAACGGGCCATCCTTCCCCGTAAGACAGTGACAATGTCGGTAGGTACAACTCGTCGTCATACCTATGCATAGGGAAAAATGGTTCTTTCATCAGCGTCTTACAATCAGGCCTTCAGTCCTGCCTGGTCTGCGGGTTCTTACAAAAGTCGGGCTACCCAAACAAGGTAGTTTCCCCCCATTTCGATATCGTTCAAGATTATGGGTTAATATTCTAAGTAGTTCAGGCGCGGGGTCCCAAATACTAGAACATCAATGAGTTTCATTAGTTCCCACGCCCGGTTTCCCCAGAACGATGTAGGGCCCCACCCTATTAGACTATCGAGGCTAGTCGACCCTTCAACGGGTCCCAGTTGGCTCAACCCCGCCTTCCTACATATCAAGGGTGGGCGATGGATATGTGGATAGGACGCATGTGTCGAGCAAAAAAACAATAGGGGCTAGGGGATGGATAGTGCCACCTCACCCCGAGGATGCCATGGGGACCGTCGTGCTTAGGGAAAAAGGTACGTGGCCCAAGGATGACGCTTGGCCTATGCACAAAGGAAGAAAACTCTCAATAAACCCCCAGGACGACATGTGTATTGGAAGGAGCAATTGCTTGGCCACACTTAAATGAATCGAGAAAAAGCGAGGAGTGACCATAAAGCTACCATTTAACGCGAGAGCGGAGCTACATCCCCCAATGTAAAACCCTATCGCAAATGGGCCATCCCCATCCATTTCATAGCACTAGGTGGGGGTGCCCCTGTGACGAACGACCCGCGCCCTGAGCATGAGTGTGGGCGGGTCGAGCCAAATGGGACCCTCAGTGGGGTCGACTCAGGCTCGAAAGTCTATCAGGGTACGGCCCTACAAAAAATGGTGGAGGTGTCGGGTACCCCGTTTTATGGTAGACTTGGTATTCTGCAGCCTCTCGAGGGCCAGAGACTTGGTGGGCTCGACCATAGTCTAGATCCACCACTTCCAGCCACAGACGACGGGAAGGTTTTACGATGAGTCAGTTAGGCACGGGCCGTTTTGGAGAAATCAGGCCCGTGAACTACTCAAACTCATCGGAATCCTTATATTCGGGTTACCACGCTTGGCGTTTGAGGAGTATGAACCAATAATTATCAGAAAGATAGAAGTGGGAGAAAACTACCTTGCAGGGGTGGCTAACCTGTTCGAAGAGCCTGGCGAACAGGACAGGCATGAGGGACCGGCGTGAGAAAGTACCGGAAAAAGGCAGCGAAAGTAAAAGCTGGAAATTAAGATGAGGAATTAACCATCTACGGAAGGTAGTGGTCGGAGTCCTATTCTACCTGAGAATACGGCAGGAAGGGACCGGGAAGGCCACCACCGCTAAGGACGCTGATGGGTATCCGGGAGTCGGGAAGGCAAAAAATGCCATCTTCGAGTAGAGAGTCGCCAACCCAGGATACTGCCTTAAAACCGAGGCACGAGAGTGACAAAGCGCCGAACCTCGGCAGCGAGCCTTTTGGCAGAGGAAAGGAAAGTTGCGCCCTGCTGAATAAGAAAACGTCGGATAAACCGTCACGGCTGATATATGGAAATAGCAAAGATAAGGACCTTAAGACCTGGGAACTAGGGAAGCTGTGAACAATAGGCCGTTTTACAAAAAAAATAAAATTCATGTGCAGGGTTAGGGAAGGATGGCGTCGGAAGAAGAGGCTGGGAACCTGCGGAGCAAGGGGAGTCAGGGTACAAAGAGGGGCGTGGAACGGAACGAAGGGTCAATAAGGGACCGAGAATCAGCAAATCCGGAGGGGACCAAGGAAGACGAGAAGGATCTCTCGACGGGGGAAAGTTCGGGAAAGGCCGGGTGAAGTAAACGAGGACCTCAGGAGAATAAGGAAGGAAGGGACGGAGGGAAAGGACACGTCCGCGAAACTCAGATGGGATCATAGCCAAGAAAGCGAAAGTCTCAGATGCTCGGCATAAGCTGGCAGAAATAGAAAAGCGAACCGCAGTGTATAAGGCGAGACTTATTGAAAAAATGATGGCTGGGAGCGAAAGGGACCTTCCGGGAGAGGAGCTACGAGAAGAGCGCAGGACTAGCCAGGGCGAAATCAGGCACGGAGGGAAGGATAGTAGCCATAGGGCGACGCCTAGCAAGAAAGGGAAGGAGAAGAGGGACTCCCCAGTTGTAAAAGCGGAAAAAGCTACAAACCCACCTGCCATAAACAGTGGTGCTAGCCGCTTGCCTGTCGCGCCAAAAATAATGAAGGGGTGTGACGGACTTTGGGGTCTGAGAGAAAGGGTATTAGGGTGGTTTGATCCAGAGGGAACAGCAACAACTGGAGAAAAGCGGAAGGAGAGCAAGGAAGGAGAGGGGACTAGTTCGGTTGGCGAAACGGGTAGTTCCGAGGGCGGACTCAAGAAAATAGTATCCACCCTCACCCGGGCATTGAACAAAAAGCAGGGCTACCTCGCGGATGCCAAGAAGAAGCTCACCTTTGATGGGGCGAACATCACCAAATTCCTGATAGACTACGAGAACCTAGCAGCCTTGTTGAAATGGAGAGAGGAAGAAAAGATGGACCACTTAGGGCAGCATGTGTCACTAAGCTTAGGAAGAGACATTATGGCCATCGTCGCCGCCAGCGGATCCTGGAAAGAGACCCGAAATGAAATGATGAGGAAGTATCTAAAGGTGGAGAAAATGGCAACAAAAGCTGAATTGGCAGCCGTACAAAGGAAGAACTATGCGACTTACAACGACTTCCTGAGAGCGTTTACCCTAGTAGCGTTACGAATTCCCGGGGTAATGGACCGGATCATGAGCAAGTATTTCCTTAGACAGTTCTTCGAGTTCAACAAGGATAAGATTCTGTCGGCCTATCAACAAACCAGCAAGTTTGAGTACACGAGGGACGTAGACTTCAGTACGATAATAGACTTCGCGGAGAAGACGGTGGTAACCGAGACGTTAGCTTTGCTTAAGGAGGGAGAGGTCATAGACTTGACAGGAAAGACGGGAGACAAGGTGAAGAAGGGAATAGAAAGTCTGCACGAACGGGTGCACGGAGTCGATAATAAGATAGAAAGAGTGGAAAATGCACTATTGGTAATCAGGCGCAAGTCTCCCGCCCCGCCCTCCCGCCCTGCCCTCCCGCCCCAAGAGGCCGTAGTTCCGGCAGCAGTAGCCAACCGAGGATACGGCAGGAAAGATCCGGCCAATGAGCAGTGCCGATATTGCACGATGATCGGTCACTTTGTGCGGACTTGCCCAAGACTTAACCATGATATTATGAGGTAGAGATGCAGCAGGTCCCTTAAAGGCGAAATTTTCGGACCCCAGCGGGAGCGAATAAACTAAAATTCGCCAGGTGGGATGCGGCATGTCATCATCATCATAAATAACCTGGATATAGCTGTCGTGGAGCCGAGCCAGTAGCCGACATTGTTTGGGATCAACCGCGGGGTCGCGGACCACAAGTCAATTTCATCCTAGAGAGTAATGAGCAGGATATGGTGAACATCAACACCCGGCGGGCAGGGGCGGAAAAGAAACTTATTCGGGATACGGTAATGGAGGAGGTTGCGGGAACCAGCGCAAATCAAGGTGAGCCCGAGACCGGGGAGCCCGAGAAAGTCTACGGAAAAGCAAGGGAAGACGAACCGATAGACAAAGCCACGGTGGTAAAGAAGAAGTTCAGGTACCAAATCCCGATCTTGACCGTGCGAGAAATCGACAATACCCTGAGCAAATTGCTAAGTACCATGGTATCTATATCCTTTCATACCATGTTGCAAGCAAGCCCGAGATTGCTTAAAGGACTCAGGCAATTGCTAACGCGCCGACGCGTAGAGGTAAAAGAGGCTCCGGAACCACAAGAACAGGAAGCGGAGGAGGTAGAGGCACCGCAAGGGGTCGCCAACCTCCAGAAGATTCCAGGAGATCTGGAGGACCTGGAAAAAGCCTTTGCGGACATCCGCTTAAGCCTACCTGACCGAGAAGGCGGCGAGGTCATGAGGGCACCTCCCGGGACGAAACTCAGCTTCCATGCACTGCCCGTAGGAAAGGTGAAGGTCCAGATCGGGACTCATCACACAAAAGCATTAGTGGACGGAGGTGCGAAAATCACCCTCATACGACGAGACTTCGCAACAATTACGGGTTGTATGGTAAACAAGGACGTGACAGGGAGTATCCGGGGAGCCGGTGGGGAAATTCCCTTTGCAGGGTATGTCACGAAATGCGCAGTTAAGGCAGGAATTAGGGAGTCGATCTGGTCATTTCAGCGGATGACCGTGATGGAAGAAATAGACCATGACATAATCCTCGGGAGACCATGGTGAACGTAGATATGATAGGCATGCACCTGCACAATGGCACGTACATGGTAGATATAGAGGACCCAGTGACCGGTCGGGGAGAACTCCTCCGACTCCTTGGGATCGGAGGGGACCCTCCGAAGGGAAAATTGGCAACTTGGTCACCAACGTTCGAAGATAGTGCGCGAAAAGGAGCATTCTCCCGGATGGAAGGTATGAGAGAAAGAGTGGAAATCATGATTGAGGAGGCCTTTACCAAAAAGAAATGGATCAAGATGGGTCTACCTCTAAAGAAAATGAGGCAAGAAGATGAGGTTCTAGGGGTCATGGTGGCAGAGAAGGAGCCGAAAGTTGAACTCGGGGCCAGCCTGCCCAAGCCGAAGGAGGGTCGGAAGGAAACGTCGGAGGTAACGCTCGAAATTCCGAACCTGTTACAACTCGTCAAGGCTATCAAGTACCACAAAGTAGGGGTGGAACCGGCAGCGCTTGCCAAATTCGAGAATGAGGTCCGAAAGGGCTACTGTCTGAACGGGAAGATAGTCAGTATTCAACCCCGCGTCGCGGAGATAGCAAAGCCGATTCTGACCGTTCATTTTTTAGAAGAACGATCCCAGAAGGAAGTGTTCGGAAGTACAAGCCAGTAGGGAAGAAAGCCAAGCTGGTCTCGATCCTAGTAGAGACATCAAAGGAGGAGGCCATGGAGAAAGAGGAAGAAATCTTGCGGGTAATTAGGGAGAGACGAGCGGCAGAAGGGCATCGGATACCCGATGAGGTAGCAGACACCATGAAAATAGGGATAGATGGGTTCCTAACGGTGGAAGAGACCCAGCTGATAAGGAAAGCGTGCCAGGAGTTTCACTTAGCATTTGCTTTCAATGACCATCAGAAAGGTCGATTGGATGCAAAGTTAATTTCCCCTGTTAGGATCCACACAGTGGAACATGAGTGTTGGAACGACAAAGGGTCTGCCTACGAGTTCGGAATAGTTGCAGAGGCCACCGAACTGCTTAGAGCCAAGATAGATTCGTTCGTGGCCGAACCCACCGCATCCCCCTACGCGAACAAGTGGTTTGTTTTTCGGAAGCCCAACAAGACGCTCAGGTGGATCCAGGATTTGCAGAAGCTGAATGCGGTAACAATCCGAGATGCGGGATCGCTTCCACATGCCGATCTGTTGGAGGAATCTCACGCTGGCCGGAGCATTTACTGCTTGATAAATTTGTATTCAGGATATGACCAACTGCCGCTCGATGCTAGGGATAGGCCATACACCGCCATGCACACCCCTGTAGGGCAGCTGCAGATGCAAGTGACCACTATGGGTTTTACAAACGCTGTGGCAGAAGCACAGAGGAGGATGCTTGCGGTAGTTGGGGACATGTTCCCGGAAAAATGTGAGCCGTATATAGATGACAATCCCATAAAAGGCGCGCAGAATAAAGACGAGATGGAGGTCCAGCCGGGGGTTCGAAAGTTCATCTGGGATCACCTACAGGATATCAAGGACCTACTCCAATGGTTTCTGGTATATAACATCACCGCAAGCGGACCAAAGAGCATCCTGGCAGTCCCAGAAGTGACCATACTGGGGTTTCGCTGTGGGGCCTATGGGAGGAAGCCGGACCCGGCAAAGACAGATAAAATCTCTCAATGGTCAACACCCTTGCGTACCACAACGGAAGTACGAGCCTTCCTATGGGTGGTTGGATTCTAGAGGATCTTTATCAAAGGTTTTGCCAAAATAGCCGAGCCCATCTGTGCGATGATTAGAGATGGAGGAACTATGGAATGGATCGAGGATAGGGAAACTGCGGTTCAGACCCTCAAAGACGTCTTGACGTCTGACCAAGTCACGTTGGCAGCGCCCTGCTGCAACGACGAAGTAGGACGACCCTTTATTCTGGAAACCGATGGGGGACCATCGGCAGTAGGAAGTGTTATGATACAAAGGAGCGAGGAGGGCAGAAAGAGGCCGATTAGGTTCGAAAGCAGAACCCTGAATTCCGCAGAACGGCGATACTCCCAATTCAAAAAGGAGGTTCTAGCCATCCTACATTGTCTCAAGACCTTTCAAGCATACCTATTCGGAAGGCGGTTTATACTGAGGATCGACCCGACCAACGTCGTAGGGGCACTAAATAACTATAAGCCTATAGACCTGACCGTTGGGAGATGGATAGGCTTTATCTGGCAGTTCGATTATAAGGTCGAGCGAATTGCAGGACTCCGAAACAGGGCGGACGGGCTAAGTCGGGTCAGCATCACACCGGAAGGAATAGAGGATGTGAAACCAATTGACGCCTTATTGGAATATGAGGGAGAAACCCTCGCCGTGGATAATGAGATGACGAGTCCCGCCTGCACGTCAGCGCAACTGCTGATCCAAACATTGGAAAGAGGGACGCCTGTCGTAGTTGCGGAACTCAGGGAAGGACCAGTCACCACGATTAGACGCAAAGATGATAAAGATTCATGGGGAGCAACAATGGGGCCGAAAGAGGAGTTGATGACAATGGTCGTTGAAGGAGGTCGGGACGTCGTATTGTGCCTAGTAGAGTCTTGGACACAAAAGGAACGACAGTATTTAGTAAGTAAGGCTCACGAAAAGCGACATACGGACGAGGAGGGACATTTTTTTTTCCTCATACAAATGTATGACGACATCTTTCGAGAGATCGGCCTGTTACTTATCGGGAACAAGCAGCCTTTGGAAGTCGGCCCCAAGGCAAGGGAGGAAGTTGAAAAGTATATCCTAAGGAACGGTCACTTGTTCAAGAAGGAAGAAGGAATGACACCTAGGCGAGTTGTGTGCGGAAGGTCT